AATTTTAACCAAAATTTAGAATGTGTTAGAACGAAGTAAAAAATATAATTAAAACTACTTTGGTCCTTCCTCTTAATAACAAACATTCTGACTATAAAACTTTGTTTCTATTCAGTTTGGGGCCTTTTTTCATCATGCAATGGTGTTTTTTAGCGAAAAAGTTGAGGTACCTATTTGTATGTCAGACTATTTTGTGCATGTATATCATTTGCAAAGCTCACTCACAACTCTGAACCTTACAGAAAAATACCATTCCTTTGTGCATATCCATAGGTTTGGCTTTTTTTTTCCATCAGTCTGGATTTATTAAGTTTTACATTTCAAGGTCTTATATGTATATCATAAATCTTGTGATTGTCACAATGTAGAAGGGGAAAAACTGTGGAAATTACAATGTTTTTAAATAAATGGAAAAAATATTAAATGCTTTTTTTTGTTAAATATTTTAATAAAGATTTTTTTTGTAATTTAAATTATGATATACACTTTTTCATGAGCCTGTTCAAATGATTAATCAGTCATTTTTTAGTAATCATTAAAAAGTTTAACATAAGCTAATTGATAATCAAGTCTTTAGAAGGTACCCCAAACAAACACAGCCACTTGTCACTTAACAACAGAGTTCCATTTCAACGATATGGTTGCTAATTGAGCTAGTCGCTAAGTGAAAAGTTGTACCTGACTTATGCCAGGCACACTATGCATGTAATGGGTTTGTGTCTCAATCAGCTTCACATAGCTGTAATGTCACTTTTGTACCACTTGTAACATTTCTAATTTTATACAGTACAGTAGTGTACTAAACAGTAATTGTAAAACAAATATGAAAATCAGCTGTATATTTTGTACATTAATTTGATTTGCATATTGTAAATACAGTACAAGTAATTTTTTTCTCTCATCGATTCATTTTTAAGAAAGAGAAAACAATCATGATCAAAAATTGCATACAATCTACAATATGAAGATTTTATACAAATTTATTATGAGATTTTATAGCTGGTTGTAAATCTGAGATCAGTAAACGGGTAAATTGTTAAGTGGGAAGTGATTGTATATTTTAGTAAACTTCAGTATTGCAGTGGTAAATATCCCCATTTATCACATGGGGACTTGGCTTTCCATACATGTCTATAAAAAAATACATATATGAATGTATGGATCCCATTAGACACTGTCAAACAGCAATAAGCTATTGGTAAAATAAATTAATGACAAAAAAAAATTTTAATTGTCCAAGTGGTATCTTTACAGTTGAAATGATAGATTTCTATTTAATAAAAAGTTTAACAATGCAAATCTTAGATACTTGAGCTTTTCTATGACAATAAGAAACTTTCGCTTCAAATTAAACTCTAAAAATGCTGTGCATGCTGTCGTTTCTTTGGTTTTTTTTTTTTAGGACAGACAAATAGAGAAGCTGACATCACATATCATTACATTCAGATGATTGTCCCCATTTTTGTTGTTATTATCACAACTTTTCAGCTGTTGTATTCTAGGTCCTTTTTTGAATATCTGTCTGGACAATCAAGCGTCAGGGATTTTATTTTGTTTAGTGGCATATCAACATCTCTATGGGTTATTTAATGCTGGAATCTAAATTTTGAACACTGTTTTATGGCTTCAACTACAGATAAAATGTGTTGTTGGTCATTTTGCTATAAAATGTATTGTTGGTAATTCTGTTTAAAAAAATGTATTGTTGGTAATTCTGTTTAAAAAAATGTATTGTTGGTAATTCTACTATAAATATGGATTGTTAGTAATTTTTTTATATACTAATGTATTCCTTGTATTTTTACTATGTATTTTTATACTTTCATACTGTTTTTTTTGGGGGGGGGTCAACCTTCAGAGAATTTTTAAAAACATTTTATTTAATCTACAAGGTTAAATAAAAATAAAGGGTTCAGTTAAAAAGTCCATGAAGAGTTACTCAGTTTGAAAGACACCCAAAGGTCAGAGGGCACAACTGCTGAAACATTGTGATATGAACAATGAATGTAAATAATGATAAATCATTACAGAAATTTAGACAAAAATAGTTTAAATTTGTAACCATTTACCATGTCTCAATAGTAAAATGATGTACAGAAATCATTATTGGTTATGGGCTTCATTTTAATTATAATCTGAGTAAATGTCATAGTTGATTTTAAAATAAAATAATCTAGCAAATCTGTTAACCTGAAGCCAATATGAATTGCTTTAAAGAGAAGTTGAATATTAAAATAAAACTCGGATGCCATTAGAGTTTACACATTTATATTAACCTTAAGTTTCTGTCACAAATCACAAAACTTGAAATTATGTAGTTTAAATTTATACTTCTGGAGTATCCTTAATTAAAGATTCCTGACAACAAAATAGGTTTTAAAAATATAAAATCTAATGTGAAGTTGTACAGGTTTTATGCATTAAAATAAAATGTACTGGAAATGGGCTTTAAAATGCACATTTTATTTTGCATATTTTTATATAAAGATATGCAAAATTAAAAGGAATTAATAAATTACACGCTGTTACAAAATATTTATTCTGGTATTCAACAATACCGAATTTGTGTTCAGACAAGGAAGTTTTCTTTCAGGCAAAAATTGAATCTCAAACAGAAAATGTTATTTTTTTTTAAAAGCAGCTGGACCAATTTAAACTATATTTTTCAATTTTAGTAGTGAAAGTGTCAACAGTACATACAGTTGTAAAAGTTATTCATTTTACCATTCCAACAATACCAAGTTTGTGAATACACATTAAAGGTAAGGTAAATACCTATATAACATGAAAATAACTTTATCCCACAAATTATTTAGATGAGTACAATCTTTATTTTTTCATTCTGAGGTTTTAACTGACATATCCATCCTCAGATTTTTTTTACTACCAATAGATCCTTCAGTGTTGCTCAGTATGTTTCATTATTTCACTTCCTCAATAGAAACAATTCAGAATCTATGAAAACCTCATCTCCATGCAGAATTTTCTTGGCTTAAAAAAAAAAAAAAAAAAAAAATTTAGATAAAGGAGGCTCTAATGACTTGTTTACTCCTGCAGCTTACATTTTTTTCCAATTTGGTTGCCTTTTTAATATTTTAAAAGCCCACTTATCTCCCCTTGGATCATGGCTTTTTGTTGCTCGTAAGTCTAATCTTTAAGAGACAGTTGGTTCCCCAATTATATTTCCAATTTGATACATACGGTTCATTGTCATGTCTACTTCATGAGAATCTGACATTTGTGAATTATGTAATGTTTTCAGAAAACTGTCCTGATACCATTCAAGCTAGAAATTAGGTATTAGTTTCTGTTATCACTTATGCTGTTACCACTACAAGCAGAACTTGATACCATATCAGTTGATGGTCAGTTATTTCTCTATATGGGACTCTTTTCATCTTTGCATTCAAGGTATATATGTGGTTTATAATGCAAATATATTTATGAAATCATTTACTGGCACCCATGGTTACAAAGTTTTGTTGGATTAACAATTTTATCAAATCTGATACTAATTCAATACATTCTGATCACTGTTCCAGTATCATTTTATTCTGTTTATGACACTTTTAGAGATTTTTGAATGTTTATTTAAGATAATGCCAAAATTGGTCAAGAAAAAAAATTTAAAAACTTTCAGAGACACTTAATAGAGTAATACATTTTTCTTTGAATATTAATCGAAAGAACAAGTGAATTTTATTGCAGACTTTTTGTTCTTTTGTAAATCTACTACAAACCAGTATTTTTCTTGTCATAAAACCAACTATTGATTTCTACTTATTCCAGATAAATTGATATTCTATTTTTCCATTTAGTTTTGCTAGAGAGATTATACAATTTTCTTAAGAAAAAAAAAAGAAGCTTTTCTTTAAACCCTAACAAAAATGAAGAAACAAATGGCCAGAGTAAAAAATATTAAATAACCTGAACTTTTAAAAATAATGTTGCAGAAAAGATTTTTTTTAATACAGTACAAAGCGTTTTTTGTTTTTCAACATGGGGCCAGGGGTTTGTTGTTTTTGTCAAGGATTTCTAGGTCCATACCTAACACATATCGATAGGCAGTGTGAAAGACTTATCTGGCACGTTAACTGGAATTTAGTACAGTTATATTTAAATCAATATTAATAATATAAAAACCAATTCCTTTACAACTGAACTGTAAAAATACATCCTCTATGAAGAAATATATATATGAGATATATATATATATATATATGAGATATATATATATATATATATATATATATATATATATATATATTTATATTTCTTCATTCATTGATATGTTTATGATAATATTTTCATATTTTGGTTGTCCTTCCAGTCACAAAGGCATTTCAAAATTTTTTTTAAATTTCCATTTGATAAGTATCAAAAGACATCCAGTCTTCAAATCCTTTTGCAACATGACACATGTAGAAGGGAGCTACGCAGGTAAAAAGTTATGACATTAAATAGTTAGCATTTTAGAATATATGAATGGACTTAAGAGTGAGCATAAAAATGAAATTTGGCAAAAACAAAAATGCTTCTTGATAGGTTTGAAAAAAGAAAAGAAAAATGCCAAACAGGTTCATGTTCTTATGATTAAAAGAAGTAAATATATTAGCTAGAAACTGATAACCTCTAACATGTATGCATATATTGTACATAGCCCTGAAAAGATATATATGTGTGCACATACACATATACACACGCACACACAAATCAATGCATGTATAAATGTAGGCCCTTGTAGGGAGTCTCTTTTCCATTTAAATGAATTGGCACTGTGTGTAATGAAACAAATACAAGTAGTGTACATTTCCATTATTACAATGTGTCCATATGCAATTCTGGCCATTATTACAATACCGTTTACATTCCTCTATTCAGTTTATTTCCACCATTATTTTTACATTGGGGATTTATGATCAAGCTCGGATCCTCCTCCCACTCCTCCTGTTCCACCTCCTCCTCCACTGCTCCCACGCTTACCCTGTCTTGGTGCAGAGTCACAGGTGTACGAACTTTGCCGACCAGAGCCACTGCCAGGTCCCCAGCCTGAGGACCCCCAACGAGAGGACACAGATAAACCACGAGGCCAGCTGCTGTAGTTGCCACCCCATGGCTGCATCATTTGATGATGGGAATAAGATGAAGGGATGGATAGCGGTTGTAATCGTAGAGCAGCTGCTGCTGCAGCTGCGGACGGGTGGTGTGAAGTCTGCGGAGCCGAGTGGGATGATGGAGGAGGAGGCTGGAAACCCCGTGAGTGAGACTGCTGGTGATGACTGTGGTGGTGGTGGTGATGGTGGTGATGGTGATGACTGTGACCGTGGCCATGGCTGTAGCCATGGTTGTGACCTGGGCCATCACCAGTTGGTGTTGGATGGGTTAGTGGTTGTTGATGAGGTGGAGGATGCTGGGAAGGCGATGGAGGAGTTGGTGGGGGGTGAGGATGGGGGCCATGGGTCGGGGAAGGCAGCGGGTGTGGAGAGGAGGAAGCTTGTGTATGAGTGGGGCTTGGTGAACCAAGATCTGGGTTCTTTACAGCATTGGCCTTTAGAGGTAGAGAGGGTTGGTGGCAGATACTGGTGGTGTTTACATTGCTCGAGCCAGTCTGACTGCCTGTGACAATCTGTCCATTAGTGTCCAGTAAAATTTTATTCTGACTTAATGCCTTGGCACTAGCTGCCTGAGCACATGCATGGCTGTTCAAGTTCGCCCTCTGTGCAAACCCCTTCTTGCATATGTCGCAATTGTAGGGCTTCTGGATCAGCGGCGGGGGAACCAGTGGCACACGAATACACTCGTGATGGTTTAGGTTCGACCGCTGGGAAAAGCCCTTTTTGCACACACCACACGTGTATGGTTTCACTCCAGTGTGTGTCCGCTCATGAATATTCAAGTTGGCCTTCTGAGGGAACGTTTTTTCACAGTAAGAACACTGAAAAGGCTTCAGCCCGGTGTGGGTACGCTCGTGAATGTCCAAATTTGCGCGCTGGGAGAATGATTTTTCGCACACAGAGCACGTGTAAGGTTTCAGGCCCGTGTGTATGCGCTCATGGATATTCAGGTTTGCTCGCTGGCTAAAGCCTTTCAGACAAATGGCACACGTGTACGGCTTCTCCCCGGTGTGTGTGCGCTCATGTATATCAAGGTTAGCCCTCTGGGGAAAAGCCTTGCTGCAGTAGGAGCACTGGAAGGGTTTCTCCCCGGAGTGAGTCCGTTCGTGAATGTCAAGGTTAGCCCGCTGACTGAACGACTTGGAGCACACTGAACATGAAAATGGCTTCTCACCTGTGTGGACGCGCTCATGAATGTGCAGATTTGCTCGCAGTGAGAATGCCTTGTCACACACGGAACACTTGTACGGTTTGATACCCGTGTGAACACGTTCATGGATATTTAGGTTTGCTCGTTGACTGAATCCCTTATTGCAGATGCTGCACACAAAGGGTTTCTCTCCTGTGTGTGTTCGCTCATGAATGTTTAGATTGGCTCGCTGGGGAAAGGATTTCGGACAGTAGGAGCACTGGAACGGTTTGACTCCTGTGTGGGTCCTCTCATGGATATCAAGGTTGGCTCGCTGACTGAAGCCCTTGTGACAAAAACTGCAGGTAAAAGGTTTCTCTCCAGTGTGTACACGCTCGTGAATCTTCATGTTTGCTTTTAGCGTGAATGCCTTAGTACAGTAGCTGCACTTAAAAGGTTTCTCCCCTGTGTGCGAGCGCTCGTGAATATGAAGGTTTGCCCGCTGGGCAAATGCTTTATCGCAGAACGAGCAGTTGAACGTCTTCTCCGCTGCAGACTGATGGCTGGATCCTCTGCCCCGTGGTCGCCCTCGACCCCCACCTCCACCCATCATGCCGGGTTGAGGGTGCATACCGGAATGAGCGTGGAGATGAGAATGAGAGTGCATGTGGGTATGAGGATGCATTGGAGCATGTAGGCTGTCATCATCCCCTGGGACACTAAGGTGGCAGTTCTTTAGGCTGCCACCTTTCCCAGGTAATTCAGAAAATGGCTTCCAACACATGCTGGTTTCACTATTATTATTGTTGTTGTTGCCATTATTGTTGTGGCTGTTGCTATTGTTATTAGTGCCACCTGCAGCTGATGGCTTATTTGATATTGGATGGTTGCTTCCATCCCCAGAGTGCTGTGAATGTGGAGACTGCGGTCCCTGTGGTGTAGTTGGGGGTGGCGGTGGTCCCACCCGATCATGTGAACTCAAGTGGGGGTGGTCCAGGGGCGTGAACGCGCGGTTGCAAATGTCAAAATCAAAATGCCTGTCCGTCGGATACATGGGCTGGACTGGGTACATGGCTGTTGCGTATAATGCTGCATAAAGTCAGAAGTAAACGACATTGATTTAGTTTGGAAATGTTCGGGTTAGTGGTTGGTTGCTGTTAGCTATGAGGTACATCAGATGGAACTGCTTGCCACCTCTGGAAACAAAACAAAAATTCTTTTTAGGATAAAGGAAAAAAAGTTAAAATACAATTTTAGATTTTTTTCTTGTTAATAAGATTAGTAAAACAGACAGGCATCAGTATTTCATTATATAAAATTTTTTTCATAAGTGCATTTGGTGTAAAATTAAAAAAAAAAAAGCCAAGTTATGTAATCACCCCAACAGTAAATACAGCTAAAAAATAAGTACATGAAACACAGAAAAAATAAAAAAACAAAAAAAAAAAAAATTGCAACAGTCTAATATATGACGCCAATTTTTAGCCTTTAGCACACGGTATTATTAATATTATTTCTCTTTCCACTGACTTCTTTTTCTCTCAATTTCAGTATCATTATTGTTAATTTCACTGAAAGTCATTTTCTGTTGCCATGGCAGGATATGAAAACACAACTATGAAATTTCAAACAAATTTAAATTCAGGAATCAGTAGCAGGATAAATTTTTTTTTATTTTTATTTTTTTTTTTTTTACAGCAAATGAGATGACATACAGAGTGACAAAGGTTAACCAGGAAAGTGATCCATGTGTATACTTGTGGGTAGTAGATATTTAGTGTGGTGAAAGAGATTGGTACAAGCAGATGTCATGCCAATGGAGATATACCTTTGAGTGTCTTTTGTTCAATTAGAGCTATTTAGACCTTTGAAAAACTGGATGGTCATTTTGGAAAATTTCTATGCATGTTAGATGTGACATCGGCGGTGCTTTAATATTGGAAACAGTAGTCAAATGAATATTTCTATGTCTGTAGACTAGGTTCTGGATAGCCGCATATAAAAGCATCCACAAAACAGACTAGACAAAACATGGCCTTGGCTGGAAATCATTTAGTTACAACAGAACTATAGGCATGCACACCTGTAATTAGACTCCCACTTATGCCAGAACACTCATTGTTGTTCACATCTTCAGTAGTATCACAAGGGTGGGGGTGTTTGAATGGTCTAATTTTCAGTGATGAGAGCAGGTTCTGCTTTCATGGAAGCAAAAGTTAGATTTGACGACAACACACAGATTCACCTAGGACAGTGGTTCCTTAACGTTTTTTTTTCTTCTTTCGAAATTACAATTTACTTGTGCTTCACCAAATTTTATGTGATAACAAATACATTTAAAGATAAAAACAGAGAGAGGGTTAAAGGGGGATCACTGTGGATTCGAAGTAAGAACATTATGATTGATAACTCTCTCCTCCAATTTGCAGAGCCTAGTTACTATATTGTTAATACTTGATCTAATGCAAAAATATCACAATGATAAAATTTTGTCAATAATTATTTATAACCATTTATACTAAGACTCATGCATGCAATTACAAGTAATCCATAATATTTTAAATTTTGAAATCATTTATTTTTGGCATATGAATTTTTTTAAACTGTTTAATAAAGATGCTTTGCAAGATATTCAGCAACTTTTTTTAACTAATATCATCATCAGACACATTCCTCATTGAATATATATTGGGAGAAATTATGGGACAATACCTGTGTTATACTAGAACATTACCTATTCTATTGTAATAGACTCTCCCACACATAAGTAGTAGTAGTAGTAGTAGCGGTCGCCAGTTGAGCTCAGTGGAGTTGAGCGAGTCAGTCGATGTCGGACATTGAAGTACCAACCACCACAACTAGATTTCTGCGTCATTAACTATTATTGCAAGTTCCTAGCGTTTTGTACGTCGAACCTAATTTAGGACAACTACAAGCCTCCACTGTGAAAACTACTTTACAACAACCTGACAGCATGATTTCCATGTATGTGAGAGTACAGGCCTTTTTTAATTGCCGGTGAGGATATAAAGCGTATTAATATGGGGGTCTGAGTACTATTGATATAACCCTTATTTTGTAACTAGTGCACAAATTAATCTGTATATAAAATCATTTTCTGCAATCCACCTATCATACCTGGATGTTTAATCTTTAGTAACCAAACATCTGCAGGAAGTTGCAATTTTTCCATCAGTGTATTTTAATAAGCTGTACATCTTTGAAGTGTACAGTTCATGTATTCTTTGTTTTCAAATATAAAAAACATTAACATCATTATTTAAAAAGGAATAGTAATAATAATAAGAAGAAATATTCCTCTAAAATAACTGCCAATATACATTACACTTTGTTATATGCACAAAGTTTACAATGCAGGTTCAATATGCAATCACTATTGCTATTGGTTTATCCAAAATATGGACACTGTATCAATTGAAAAACTCTCACTTCTTTAAATAATGAAATAAATAATTCCATTTTGATTGCAAGATGGAAGAAAAAGATACATCAGAGAAGTAAAATAGTGTAAATAATATCAGAGAACAACGTTAATATTAACAACGTTAATATTGTGGTTTTATCCATAGCTGGGACCCTAATTTATTTCTTCCATCTTTCCTTGCAATCAAAATGGAATAGACTAAAAACTAAGTGACATCATTTACATATGCTGATCAAATGTCTATAGTTTAATATCTCCATGAATTATAAATAATTTTCCATTTCACTGAGGCAGATGTTAACATGAAAGCATTATCCCATTTTCTATCTTCACCTTTTTCAATTTTCATTTTCCTCACTGAAACTAGATAAGCCTCTTTGATATTATTTACACTATTTTACTTCTTTGATGTATCTTTTTCTTCCATCTTTCCTTGCAATCAAAATGGAATTATTTCATTATTTAAAGAAGTGAGAGTTTTTCAATTGATACAGTGTCCATATTTTGGATAAACCAATAGAAATAGTGATTGCATAAACTCCTTGTGAGTTCCAAAACTATAAAATAACTATGGAAATTCCTGTAATGTACCATGAAATATTTTGGCTTGACTTTAACAAGATATTACAATAATGATAATAGGCATATAAATCAGATTTAATAATATTTTATTGGAAAAATCTTTTAGCTAAAAGGAGAGTTTTTGTTTTCGTTTAAGGATACCTGTAAATGTTTACAATAAATATAAAACAAACAAAATAAAAGGTTAAAATATTAGCGGTTCCACAAAATAAATAGAAAATAAATTTTGATAGTACAAAGGAATCTGTTTTTAATATAAACCTTTCAATTGATACATTGTCCGTATTTTGGATAAACCAATAGCAATAGTGAGCAGCTCACTAGTTCAATTTTTTTTTATGGCTTATCAATACTTTGTGGGTTATTTAAAGCCTAAACATTTTAGATTGTAAGAATAATTCTTTTTGTTAGTTAATATTGTATTAACAATTTTTTGAAGATAATGATTTTCCAAATACAGGTCCTACTATTTAACCCATAACTGGGAGAAGAAGATGATTCATATCCTTCTCGTCGGTATGTGTGTCTCAGTGAATGTAACAAACTGGACTGGAATTCGAACATGGCTCTCTGATTTCTCATTCCAAGTTGCCATCCATTACACCGCCCGCACACCCAGCTCACTAATCAAAGGGGATATATTTCTTCTTTTAACATCAAAAAGAAAAGCTGTAATTTAACTAAAATTATAGAAAGGAAATGGTTAAATAATTTTATAATATATTTTATTCCATTTTGCTGAATTTCTTTCATTGTCATCTGTATCCACAGCAAATAAAAATAATTCTAGAGAGACTAGTACTCTTTACTCTTCCAAATGTGTTGGTAAAATGAATTGCAAGAATGAATCCTAAGAATTTATAAGTTGTTATAAATATGCAGATAGTGACTGCATATAGTCAGGTATTTACATTTCTAGAGAATTGCAAATTCCTTTTATAACAAAATTAGTTTGAGTACCTGTCAAAATTTCACGTTTACTATAATTTTTCATAATTCTTAAGTTAATGATTGCATAAACTCCTTGTGAGTTCCAAAACTATAAAATAACTACGGAAATTCCTGTATTGTACCATGAAATATTTTGGCTTAACTTTAACAAGATATTACAATAATGATCATAGGTATGAATGCAGGACATTATTTAAAGAAGTGAGAGGGTACAAATGAAAAGATTGAAAATTAACAGAATTTTCCACTTCACTGAGGCAGATGTTAACATGAAAGCATTATCCCATTTTCTATCTTCACCTTTTTCAATTTTTTTTTTCCTCACTAAAACTAAATAAGCCTCTCCGATATTATTTACACTATTTTACCTCTGATATATCTTTTTCTTCCATCTTTCTTTGCAATCAAAATGGAATTATTTATTTCAGATAATAGCAGGATGTAACACGAGATAACACTTTTACTAACAGAGGAACAAGCAGAATTATATTAGATGGAATCAATTTTGTTTCGACTCCCACTTTTATAAAATTTCCACCCACTGATTACTTTAACCTATGAATGGGAGATTTAGAACAAAGGTAATAAAAAAAAAAAAAAAAAAGAAGCTTCTAATGAATGTAATATTTTTACCTTCAAAATGATGAATTTCAAAACTATTTCCTGCCCATGTTTTTAAAGATCATATTTGGTTTGGTTTGTTTTATGGCATATCAAACTCAATGGGTTATTTAATGCTGACAAGATTTTTATTGCTGGTAATATTTTTGTTCAAAAATATATTGCTGATAATATTGTTTTTTCTTCAAAAATGTATTGCTGGTAAAAAGACATAGTTTTACACTTCCATAGTGTTTTGACCCCGGTTTGGGGTTAACTATTTACCCATAGCTGGGACCCTAACAGGTGCTACCACCCCAGATCAGGGTGGACCTGGGAACACCAGTAATTAAGAGGCAGTTTCATGCTCCTCAAAACCTTCTGATCAGAGGCCTTGCTGTCGAATGTAATTTACCATCTTATCTTATATTTCGTATTTGTTACAAAACAAATATTTGCACTAAATATTAAATTGAGATTTTTTTTTTTCTTCACCTATTTCACACAAGCTTTTCAAAACTATCAGTTTTGAACTACCCCAAAAACATTTATTAGATATCACATGATGGCACCATTCCTCATGTCCTGAATCATTTTGCTCTGAACTAAACTATTGTAGTACAATTATCATCCATTAGTAGAGAAGTAATAAAAGTATTTAAAAATGTTTATAAGAGAAATATTTAAAATGCAGAAAAGTCCATTCTTAACAGTTTTATTTCTATTCTGATATCATTTTCATGTAAAGAAAATGGTTTCTATCTAAAATTTCCTTTTTCTTAAAAAATCCTTATGGGAGTTAGGGAAAAACAGTCTTAAAGATGCTTTATAAGAGAGTTAAGAGTTAATGTATGTATGCAAAAAGGAGTTCAGATAGGCTATGTAACAAGATAAATTACATTATCATGATTTAAAGGAAACTCAATCATACAAAGCAATATAAAGGTCATCATAGTTCACTTTTAGAGCAAAATGATAGATATGTACTTTTCTCAGCAATGTTATTAGACTAAAAACTAAGTGACATCATTTTTTTTTTAATTATATACATATGCTGATCAAATGTCTATAGTTTAATCTCCATGAATTGTGAATTTGTTATTGCAAATGTATTTTAAACATACATGTAAATTTCAAATGTTTAATTTGTGTTATATACATCTCTCCATGTTTATTTATGCAAAGAAATACATTGATATTTTTCGAGCAATTGAGAAAGAATATGAAAGTATTCAAAATGTCATTACTATAGACACGTTCAGATAAATAAAAACACACCAGCAATACACTACACATTAAAAATTTCAGAGAGAATTATTTGCTTCATTCAAACTGTTTAACTTCTTGAACTTAAATAAACTTAAAAAATATTTCTGTTCAATTTAAGTTGTTCTTTATTTAAATATGTTTTATTTAAAAGTACAAAACAAGTGAAATTGAAATTTTAAGTCTTCTTCTAGCATTTAGCACCCAAATTTTAATTGCCCTCAATGGCACTTTTTTAACAATCACATTATTAAACTTTACGTAAAAAGTTAAAAAAAAAATAAACTTACTCAACAAAAGTATATTTGTTTACAGGTAATTAAAACTAAAAGGCTAGGCTTAAAACCACACATTGATCTCATGTATACAAACATAGGTACCAAGATTTATGAATTAATGAATGGAGAAGATGTGATGTGATGGGGGTGATGATGACAACCACTGCGGAGAATGAGGGGGAGCGAAAGATTGGTGGAGGTGAGCAAGAGCAAAAACAAAAAAAAAAAAAAAAAGTCCCCAGCATCTGGTAGGTGCTGGACAAACAGTACAACAAAATAAATCATCATCAGAGTTTGTATGGGGGTAAACACGACCAAAAGACCCCCTACCCTGCACAGGTGGGGAAGGAACAAAAATGAGGGAGATCACCAGCAAACGTTGGGTGAGGAGTGGACAAACACGAGGGAAATCCTTGGCAGATGGGAAATGGACAATGATGGGATGATTTCTACCAGCAAGATGTTACATATCCAGAGTAATAAAATAAAAATAAAAATAAAAGTTAATTCATATCTACAAACAAAACATATTTTTAAAAAAAATTGATTGATGCTCTACTCAGTAACAGGGTGAATGGATGGATCGATGGGTGTCATAAAACTTTAAAAGGAAGATTATGAAGTCTGTGAGTTTTAACAAAGATCTATTTCCTCTATTGTTCGGATAGAAAGGCATCAGCTATTTTCCTTTTTTTAATTCACAACTCGCATAGTGAAAGGAAAGCCTAGTCAAGTGCTCTGAGAAAACCCGCAGGTTGAACTGGTGGTTTCGATAAATATACGCTGATTCGTTCTTAAATGGTTATATATATATATATATATATATATATATATATATATATATATTTTTATTTTGAAGTGAATGTATTTATGAAGTTTCAAATATAGACTTAAAAAAAAAAAAAAAAAAAAGATCAATTGTCAACGAGCCTCGATAAAGTAAAAAAGAAAATAAAAATTATTTATTATTTAAATTTATATTCTTTATTATTATTTCTAAAAAACGTCGTGAGACGTGTGTATATTTATTTAAAAAATTATTTACATAAATAAATATTTTTTAAAAAATTTTTCGGCATTAAATTGTCAATGTTTTTTTAAAAACAAATTAATTTAAAAAAAAAAAAATTAAATAATTTTAAAAATACATGCATTCACTTTTTAATGAAAAATAAATATTAAAAGAATTCCTTTTTGATAATTTTTAAATATTTAATTCCAAAGTTTATCTTTGAAGTGAAGCCTCTTTAGTCTTTAGTCTTTTTTTAGTCTTCCTTGTTCAGGTACCGTATTTAGAAATCAATTTTTTCAATTCATTTTTTTTTTCATCCAACACTGATAAAAATTTTACAAATTCAAAATACTAAATTTACTAATAAAATATCAAAAAAAAAAAAAAAAAATAGTGTAAAAATGTCAAATGAAAATATCAAAATAGCCACACATGTAACATTCTTTTTGCTTCCATATCAATGATGACATTATTGATTTCATCACAAAATATTAAACATCGTTTTTTAACAAAAAAATTGAAATCTGTCCATGAATCAATGTAACGTAAATGAACATAAAACAACAATAAATGCACCTATTCGCAAAACAAAACAATGAGAAATAGACTCGATGACTAAAATTTTCAATCTTAGTAATAAAAAAAGTAAAAAAAATAAACATCTTTCCAATTTTTTTACATTAAAAAATAAATAAAAAAAGGGGGAGACATTTTTGTGCTGCCAAAAAGAAGTAAATCGAAATAAAGACATTCTCTATGTACAAAAACCGAACACATTTCTGTTAGTTTTACAATTTTACATACATCTTTCAAAAGAAATGTAACAAAATTAACTTTATTTTACTAAAAAAAGTAACTGTAAAAAAAAAAAAATTATTATTTTTTTAAGTAAAAATTATCATTTTTGTTTAAAAAGGGTGGATAAAGGAAAAAGTCTAATCTTCTTAGCCATCAATTCAAACGAACTGAAGTAATTCTTCATAAGTCTAAACAAAAGTATTATTTAATAAACGTAATTATATTAAAAGTAAATAAAATAAATAAAAAACAAGCCGGTCACTATTGGTAAAATGCTTTTTATGAAAAGAAAAAGCAAGGTTTAAAATAGCGGGTTCCTGGCAGGAGCCAAGTGGCTACTGTGAGTTAATGAGCCTCACTGGCCCGGAATCTGTGAAAGAACCATAACAAGTTAAGAGACAATATAAATTTTAAATTATAAAAATATCTAAAAAAAACAAAACAAGTTTTTAACTTATTTTAAAAGACGTTTTGAATGAATTTTTTTAATGTTATGAAATAAATTCTTTAGAATTTTTTAAATTTTTTTTTTTAAATTTCGTATTTTCAAATTTATTTTAAAAAAATAAACTAAAAAATTAAGAATAATTGATATAAGTGTTTTTATTTTAATTAACTAAAAAGTTAGTCATCAAAATTTAAAAATAAATTAGAATGATTTTTTTTACAGATGTTAAAAATGATAAAGTAAAGCATGCAGAATAGTAAATAAAGGAATAAAATATACAACTTCAACAAGAGAAGGGTAAATAATAAACAATTATTTTGACTTTTCTTAGATTTTGAAAGAGAAAAGTAAGATTTCTAAGCCGATCAATATGATAAATGGACAATTGGACAAGAGTGGTTATTTTTTTCGATAATCATTCGTGTTTTTTTTTTTTTTAAATGTCTAAGTGCTATTTTTTAAAAAAAAAATACAAAAAAACATGACAAGTGGAACATTTAAAAATCTTTTAAAAAGTCTTAAAAATAAGAAAAAGAGAGAAGAAAAAAAGGAAAAAAAAGCCAAGAATTATTATTAATAGTAAATAGCAGAACTCTTCTCTTTTTTCCAGCCTACTTACATTTTGTATTATTATTTTTTTTAAGAATGTTTTTTGGGGGGTTTAATCTTTTCTGACGGTTGTGATTATTCGATGTGGAAGTCGTCCTGACCTAGAAACAGCCTCAACCGTTCGTATAATACGACGGCCTAAACATCTTGTTTTCTGGGATGGGGGTTCTTGGAAAAAAAAAAAAAAAAAAATGTATCGCTTTTTTTTTTTTTTTCAAAAAGTCAAGAAAAAAAGTAAAAGAAAACTTACCTTTCTTTATGTAATCGTGCGTGCGTACGTGTGTAACAGAGGTTAAGTGAAAGGTAAAATGAAAGTGAAAGGAGGAGGATAGTCCTACAAGAAATAATAGAGAGAGGGGGAAGGAGAGCGCGTGGGGTTTGGGATGAGGGTTGTTTTTTGAGAGAGAGTAGAGGAGAAGCACTGCCTGGAAGTCGACAGTATAAAGGAATAAGATGAGAGAGATAAAAAAAAAAGTGAACAAGGAAGTTAAAAAAAAAAAAAAATGAAAAGGATTGTTTTTTGTCTAAAAAGAAAGAGATACAGGAAGGCAAAAGGAAACAGGAACGGAGATCAAGAGATAAGGAAGAGGAAATAAATTTTTTTTTAAGTTTATGAAGAAAAAAAATGATCATTGATAAGAGATTTTTAAATAAAAAAAAAATAAAATAAAATTGATTATGAAGACGTGGATGAAATGAACGGGTACAAAATGCCAGTATCTAAGGATAATGGCAATGGGGGAAAAATAGTTTCTAGTGTAACAGAACGGGAAAAAAGAAACTTAAAAAAACTAAATGTTTAAAAAAAATATGAAGAGTGAGAAAAGAAGAAAGTAAGCTACTGGTATATCCTGATGAATGCGTTAATAATAATACAGAAGTGAGAGGGGTACAGACAGAAGCTAATGAACATAAAGTAAGAAGGAAAGAAAGAAGAATTGACAAAACTAAGTTAAAAAAATAGAATAAAAAAGAAGTCAATTTAATAAAATAAAACAATACAAGGGAGGTAACCGCCGGTGTGCGATCAAAATCCATGGTTACCTCCCCTTAAAAAGTTTACGATTTTAAAACAACGTTCCGTATTTTTTACAAAATTAAATAAAATGCTATTTATTTATGTATTTTAAGAAAAAGGAGATTTATAAAAAACATAAAAAGATTATGCAATTTATTTTATCACTAGGAACATTTTTGCTTTTTTTCTATCAAATATTTTCAACTATTGCTTGCGAATAAGGGAGATAACCATACGTATATACATAACGTCAAAGAAAAGAAATAAAATATATTGTCTCCATTATTACTATTATTATTACTTTTCATATTACATTTTATTGTCGTCATCGTTGTTGTTATTATTCTTGCTGTTGTTATTATTGATGTCTTTCGTTTTTTTTTTCTCTGTGAGTTTAGCCAAACCATTCTTTGTAAATTCAACAAGCATCTCTAAGTAAGTAACATTTAGTAGTTGCTACTACTATGCCAAAAAAAAACTACTCCAAGAACAAAAATTGAAAAAAAATATAAAAAAAAACCCAAAATAATTCATATGTTCCTTGATTTTTCTTTTAGTTTTCTTTTCTAAAATCTGAAAATGTGTAGACATGTAAGAAAGAGAAGTAAAGCATCACTGATTACGATTTAAAAAAAATGAATGGTTAATTTTTTTTTTTTTTTTAATCTGTTTTAAAAACGAAAAAACAAAGCAAAACAGGAGAAAGCAATACAAAAAAAACGACATTGGAAATTTAAAAAAAAAGGATAAAATAATATTAAATTTCTGGTGAGCATTTTTAACAATAATATTATTTTTCCTGTTATTTTTTCTTATCTCTTTCTTTTATTCGTTTCTTTTTTTATTCCTGATTTAACGTAAATTATCGAATAATTTATGACAATTCTGAATTCGTAACTAAAAAAATAAATTTATTTTTTTCAGGATCATATGACGAAAAAAAACACGTTTTTACATCGTTTTTTTTTCTTATTTTTTAATCGTAATTAAATAATTTTATTAACAACTGTCTTATTTTACCATTTAGTTTCATTTTTAGATATTTTGAAAGAACATTGGTAATTTTATGGCAAAGTCTAAAAAAATAATTTTATCACGATCACAATCAGTATTTGAATTATCACAGAAAATAATATTCAACATTAAATTTTTTAAATTTAAAAATTTAATGTGGAATATATTATTTTCTGTGATAATTCAACATCTAAAAAATAAAATGTTTATTTAAAAAAACACTTTTTAACACTAAAAAAAATCAAATCTTAAAAAAAAAGAATAAAAATATAAACTGATGGTCTTCTTATTTTGTTAGTTCTTTTAATCAGATTTTAAAATTTTAATGATTAAAACTAAAAGAAATACAGTAAGTTAAGTAAGTACAACTTCTTGTCCATGAAATAAACAATGACACTGGTACATTGAAATAAAATAAGTTTTTAAAAAAATACGAAATTTGAAATACCTGCAGACTTTTTAAATCTATTTTTTTTTCTTTTTAGAAATCGTTATGCCTTAGTTCTTCTTTAAAATGTTCTTATTTATTTTATTCAAAGTTAATACTAATTTTCCATTATGTAAAAAAACAAACCGTTCAATATGAGTAAGAAGAAGCAATAACATTGTCACAGAAGTAAGTGCTAGTTAATGACAATTTGACAAAATATAAAATCAGTGCATACATTTTTTAAAACTATTTTTACTAATTTTTGCAGGTTTTTTAGTTTTAGATTAAAAGAGTCTTTTGTTCAGAGTGTAATTCAATATTTATCTTTTCTTACTTGAAATAAGTAAAATTAATTTAAAAATCAGACAAGTAAAAAACTATGATGACCCTCAAGGGCTAAAAATTGGCATTCTTCCCCAAATGGTAGAAACGAATTGTGTAAAGAAAGTAAAAAAAAACCTAAAAATGCACATTTTTTTTTAAATCATTCAGTGTTAAATGATTTTTATTTGTTTTCCTATATAAGTTGTTCTTTGTTCAAACATTCGATTTGTACTCACTTCATATTTTAACAATTCAATACAAAAAAAATGTAAAAATAATTGATTATTATTATTTAAATTTTTAAAATGTCATTTTTTTAATCGTGTTCCTTATAAAGAAGTTTAAAATGTTTCTACTTATTTCAAAATTAAAGAATTTTTAAACAATAAACAAATAAAATGATTCAGTAAACAACAAAAAATGAAAATCTAAAAATCACTATTTGTTTGAAATACCATGGCATCATTATGAAATTGATTTGTAACATTATTTTTTTCTGAAGATAACATCAGTATTATAATTATAATATTCAATATTTGTAAAAAAAAATCTATTATGATTACAAATATTGAATTTCCTTGTTTTCATTATTGCATAAATCATAAGGATGAAAATAAAAAATATATAATAAAAATATAATAATACTGACTTGTTAATTGATTAATTTGTTTTGCAGCTTATCAAATCTGTGGATTAAAGCCAAGACTTGTTAATTTGTATTTGTTATCTTGGCAAAGTGAAAAGTTAAAACACTTTAAATTCTAGACTTTGGGCTAAGATTGAAACAGTAGCTGTTCATTTAAAAAGCAGTCAGACACAATTTTATGATATTTTTATCTCTTAATAAAATAAAAAATACAATTTCCCAATTTTTTGTTGTGGGTTCGTTAATAATGCAATGTATATGCTTTTCAATTTGATGTATCAGAATGCATCAATAAGTTTGCTACTTGCAGTTTCAAATTTGTTTAGATTCTGTGATTAGCATTTCTTATAGAGAGTATATTTGGTAATAATTCAATACTTAACCCTGATGAGCAGTGTGTCTGCAAAACTTTGAACTCATTTATTTGAACCTTCATTAATTTATTGACAATTATTGCTCTTGTTCTTTACTGAGCACTTTCTTGACAAAAATTCTGCTTATGTTGAAATATGTTAAATTCTTGTAATTTTTACCTATTTTAATAGGTATTAGCCTAATACTATTAGGTATTATTGATTTGTATTATCTCTCTCTCTCTCTATATATATATATATATATATATATATATATATATATATATTGTGTGTTTGTGTTAGAATTCCAGATAGAATACATCTATAAAAGGAAAACTTAGACAACATGTTTCCTCCTCTGAGGGACTTTATCAAGACAAAACTTGCCTAACATTTCTTCTAAACTGATGAATAATCATGACCAACCCTATATCAAAAATTTTGAAAAACCAAGTATCTAATCACAGAATCTAAACAAATTTGAAATTGCATGTAGCAAACTTATTGGTACATTCTGATACATCAAATTGAAAAGCATATACATTGCATTCCCTCACAGAAAAAAAACTGGGAAATTGTACTTATTTTATTACGAGATAAAAATATCATAAAATTGTATCTGACTGCTTTTTTTCAGTTTTGCTCTTGTATATAAATTCTTATCACAAAATAAAATCCTTATATTTGCTTTGATAAAGTCCCTTAGAGGACAAAACATGTTGGCTAAGATAAGTTCTCCTTTTGTCTTTTTTCATATATATATATATATATATATATATATATATATATAACACTAACTATGGCTTTCAAAATCATTATCCTTTTGCTTGCATATTCTTTTCTTTTATGAAAATGTTTCAAAATTTTATTCAGCCTAGGTGAACGGTGAGTACATAGATAATGTCTTATTTGGGGAGAGATAATTTTGAAAATAATTCCAGTTAACTCTCCTTCCCAATCTTTTAAACAGGAGTAGAGGTTTATCCCTTGTTTTCTGTTTAAGATTGGGTTTCCAGTTCCTTCTGAAATCTACTTCAGCTCATACAAATTCACACAGTAACCCTCTACATTGAGTGGCTCTTGGACCTTGTATTGAGTGAATATTGATAAAAAAAATATTTTTTGGAGTATTGCCCTTTATTTGAACTTTGTTTACGTCAATAAAAATAAAACAATGTAAGTTGGTAACTGAACTCCAAAATTGAATTTATTAACCATAAATCCTTAACAAACAAATTATTGAGTCATTTAGACCTTATTTTTGTCTTTAAAAAGAGAATCTTACTGTCACAATTATATGGAGCTTTTGGAAGATTTTAATAATTACATGATTATTTTTCCATGAGTTTGTAATATTTTCTAAACAGTCCTCCATAAGAATTCAGCTATTTTTATTCAGTTTATTCTTAATAAATCTGCATGTTACTTTAATCTTTAGTACTCTGCATTATTAATATTACTTCCTTTTCCACTACATTCTTTCTCAACTGCAGTAAACTTATTGTTAACTAGCAGTAGAGCCCGGCGTTGCCCGGGGATGTAACAGTAAGAGATAGATCAAGTATTGACCATCATAAAGACTGAAAAATAAAATTGACAAAGATTATTGTTTAAGGTTGACGGACACGCATGTCTTAATTAGTTTTTTTTGTTTTTTTTTGTTTTTTTACGAATTGGTCAAACCCAAACTCAAATAAAAACATTGTTTTCAATTGTTATGAGTCTACCGATTGAACAGAATTTTTCAATTTTATTATAAACAATTGTCTTGGATTTTTTAAAGCATTCTGAATGTAAAAATAAAGAAAAAGGTGTGCAAGACAATAAGAAACACTACCTGCCAAAAAAAAGTGAAGTTTTGTTGAAATCGGTTGAAAAATGTAGGAAATCCGATCTCATATATAAATGAACACACACACACACACACACACACACACACACACAAACAACCTGGGTTTTATAATAAGTATAACTTGATATGAGTTGTCCCCCCTTTCATTCTCGCGATGCCTCTTAATCGTGTTTTCAAATTGATTTCATGCAAAAACAATTGTGTTTTTCCAATTTTTGGCGCTGTCAGAACCACCGCAAGGTAATTTTACGTAGTCCTGTGAAGTTTTGTTGAAATTGGTTGAAAAATGTAGGAAATCCGATCCAATATATAAACGTACAGACACGCACACAGACAACCTGGGTTTTATAATAAGTATGATTTCATGAAATTCAAACAAATTCAAATTCAGTGGTAGTGTG